ATTTATGCTCCCCCAGGTGCAGGCTCTTCGCGAGCTCTTCGTCGGCTAGGCTTCACAGCGCGCGCTATTAATGCTCGTTTAATAAATCGTTATTTGCACGAGTGAGCAGCGCGGAGGCGCTCGCGGAATTATTCGCGTAACGTGACGTTACGAAGTATTAAAAGTTGCCGTCTCACTTATCGCTCGTTCGCTCGCTCGCGCGCGCACGCCGATTTTAACGAGAAAATTCAACGACGAATTTCGTCTTACTTAATTTCCTCCAGGTCAGACGCGGACGTGCGCGGTGGCGCGTGGACGTCGCGAGGGTGCGCGTCCGTGTCCTCGTAGAAAAACGGTGCAAGCCGTGTTGGGAAAGAGCCGAACTCCAAACTTGGACGAGGTGCGGATCGCCGAAGTTCGCGAAATCAGCCGATTTGAATTCGTAAGCACGTATGCCGAGCGGGGCGAAGTTAAGACTGATGTGCGCGCGAGACAGAGAGAGAGAAACATTTTTCCGAAGCGTCGTTCGTCGTGCGAGAGCCGCGCAGCACACGTGCGGGTACGAGAATCCAAACGCGACGTTTGGATAAATTTGGGATTAACTCCGATCTACATTTTATTTATATCCGGGATAAACGTAAAAATTGGGAAGCGTCTTTTGCATTTTCTCACGTCGGTTTGCGAAACTTCCGCGAACGTTCTGTCGGCCCAGGGAGCAAAGTGAGTTTCGCGTAAAGTACTTGGAAAATCTTTACGTTTTGCGTTTTACGTTCGCTGCTTGAAGTAGAAACTACAAACACCGCATTTCGCGCAACAGTCTTTTCCGCTTCCGCTGAAAATCGACTTTCGCTCCGAAAGTGCGTTTAGCCACTCGTTGAAACACATTCCTTTATCAGCAAACGTAGGCCAAAGTTGATTTGGCTAACAGGCATAATCAAATTAGAAGGGTAAGAGAGAGAGAGAGAGAGGGAGACAGGCAGATCGTTAGACTTAATTTCATCAAGCCCATTAGAGACATAATTCGATAACATTTTCGCGGCACACAGTGAGCATAGGAAGCTCAGCTGGAGATTAGCACTAATCCGACAAGTCTATAGTGACAGATGAGAGAGAGAGAGAGAGAGAGAGAGAGAGGGAGAGGAGGGGGAAAGGGAGAGAGAGAGGGAGCTCGAATGCATCCTCATGTGATCGATGTGGCGCAACAGACTAAGTGCGAAATGTTTATACGAAACACGTCCAGATAAACCGTCAGCCGAGATAATTGCGAAAATGAGATACTTGTCTGCTGCGATTTTGCGAGACGGCGGTTATTCATTCATAATCATTAGAGATACTGGAAAGCGCCTTTTCGTTTTTATTATAAAACTTTGCATGAAAATAATAAAGTAAGTTCGATCTTAATGAAAGTTGACGTACACAATGATGAAATATTGTTAACTAGCCTGGAATTTAAATTAATTAAAATTAAAAACCCGTATTACAATCACGGAAATTGGAAGCTTTAAAATACGAAAAGAATGATGAAATATTGTTAACTAGCCTGGAATTTAAATTAATTAAAATTAAAAACCCGCATTACAACCACGGAAATTGAAAGCTTTAAAATACGAAAAGACTTTCCGCAATATCCCCAATAATTGTGTATTAATAGATGTACTCTTATTAGCACGTCGTTGTCAAAGTGGTGAAAAAGCGAGGCTCCGTTGAAGCGCTTCATCGAGATTCATCGATCATCTTTATATCGCGTTACATTTGACGCCCATCGCCGCGGACAGGCTGCGTTTCGATTGACCGTACGCGCGGAAATCGATATGGGTGTAAAAGGCGCGGGCGCAGCCGAGTTTCGTAGGAGGCAAATAATTTTTCAGTCTTCGTTCCCCGCAACAGGTTCCGTTACACAGCAAATGTTTTTACTTGTTGCATCGTGTTCGTTTTTATCGTATTCGCGTCGTCGTAATCGGTTATCTTTTCCATGCGTTTACGTACGAGACACACTCGGCCAATTGATGGGTCAATCAAATTTCCATGCCACCTCCCGGTACCGTTTTCCTTCCAATGTACTCGAGGCAGCGAGTAAAATTGCAGACTCAAGGATTGTGTCTTTCGAGTCTCTGCGGGAGAGCGTTTGCGCGCGATTGCGACCGCGCGATAAAAAATGCAATATCGCACTGACCAGCGGCGATCGGCCGTCCAAAGATCAAAATTACGCGATTCACTCCAAGTCCGTACAAACGAGCGAGCGGGATTTCGCCGCTGTGATTTTCAATATTCCGACTTGGACGGATGTCGGGTAGGAATATCGGGCGTTAGGAATATCGGGGAACGCATTACCGCGAACGAATTGAAGCGGATCGAATGAATGCGGATCGTTAGAAGAGCGCTGAACGGATCTTTCGACGCAAGAGAGTGCACAATCCTAAAGTTCCGAAACGGTTGAGCGTTAGCCGACGGAAACTGCGCGGAACGGAATGAATAAAAGATGCGGGGTGTCGGGGGACGGGGTAAAATTTCAAGAAATTGCGCAGAGGGCTCCTCCGGCGCCGCGCAGGAGCATTAAAACTGCCTGTAAGCCTCCATGTTATCCTCCACGGCGATAGATAGCCGGATAGGCTTTAGGGATGCAGCCGGAGGAAGATTCGAGAAAAATTACGAGCCAACAGATAAGGGGGATAACTTTTCATACGCGAGCGAGAAAGCGGCGCTGGCTTGAGAACTCCCGAGATTATGCTAATACCCGCCGGGAGAGGAAAGGAGGGAGGGATTTCCGGCAGGATTACGAGCAAGGAGACGTTTAAAAACACCTGGATTTGTTAACATTTATTACGCCTAATTGACGATCAAACGATTAAAAGAATTAACGATCCAAAGAATTAAATATAAAATAAATAATCGTTAAAATAAAATGGTCAGTATAAAATTTTGACGATATAAAATTTCGAGGAAATTCCGGTATAGAAATTTTATATAATATTTATTTTAGTAAAATTTATTTTAATAGAATTTATTTATTATTCTGATATAAAATTTATTTTAACAAAATATATTTCTTGACTTTACGAAAAATGTAAATTCTACGTGTAGTGTGTGATCATATCACACCGTAGGAGGTGTAAATTCTGGATGTATCGCGGACGTCGTTGAAAAGTCTCTCTTTGACAAACAAATACCTCGCGTCATGAGAGATTGGATTCGCATCCATCCTCGACTCGCGCCCTCCTTCCTTTCCTCCCTCGGACAATGCAAGAAAACAAGAACACATTTCGCAGTAATGAGACGATCTTTATTCCGAGTATACGACATTTTTACGGATTCATGATCGCGTATAAATATGAGATGAGCCGGAAGGAAGGGAACCGCAGCGTGGCTCACGGCGTCCCTAAAAATCGATAGCTCTCGGAGATGTCGACAGGCATAACACGCGCTCGATAACGCGGACCGAGCCCCCGATGTAACCCCCGAAAAATTGACCCGACAAATCCTGCCGACATGATTTCGCCGCTCTCGTCGGCGCGTCGCGTCGATATCGATCTGTCTGGTCGTTATAGTCGAGCGCCTGATACAATATTTGTCGCGACATGAAAGCGTCACGCGTCAGCAAACACCCGCGCGCTCACCTTCGACGGCGAGCGGCTTACACGAGGTTTTACGCATTAACACCGCATCACTCGTCTCGCTCATAAGAAGTGTTCACTCGCACTTTAACCCCACGGATAATATTGCTCGCGTGTCGTGCGCGGACGCGCACAAGTGTAAATTATGCACGGCGGAGAAGCGAGCGAGCGCGCGCGACGTGTTCGACGACGCTGAAACGTAATATCGCCGCATCTGCGATAACCCCATCTAATCGCTGAAAGAACGAAAGGTCTCATTCGGTTGCGGGTTGTTTGCCGCAAATGCGCCACGTAACGTCGCTGGCGTGGTGCCACTCGCGCGTCGTATCTTTTACGCGGCACGCCAACGTTATCGGCAACGCTAGGCTCATCGTAAACGATGACAAACGACGTCTCTCTCGATCTCTCTCAGCCGCCCATCAGACGCGCCCGGCCAGCGTCTTTTGGAGTGTCTCATTGCGTGAAAACGACCTCTTGCCGAACTTACGGTTCTACCTGCAATCCTACACGTAGCCTGAGTTCGTTCCCGTCGATACGTTGTAACGCGTCGAGAGCTACGTTAATTGCACGTGGAGAGTGTTGGCTACGGGATATTAATAACATAAGGGACTTGCTCGTTAATCTGAGAACAAGAGAGAGTAAGGGGGAAAAGTCTCTCTTGTCTGAAACACATGCCGACGCGCGCTGGGGAAACGAGACTCTCTCTCTCTCTCTCTCTCTCTCTCTCTCTCTTTCTCGTGCTTGCAACTGCACGGTTCAACGGATGGGCAAAGCGCGATCGAATTTTTCGTATTATTAGAAAGCAGAAAGAGGCAAAAGGCACTGGGTGGCATAGACGACCTTGCGATCTCTCGCTCTGTCGCGGGCAACGCGCTATTAATATTGCAATTATTAGCGCTCGCACCGTGGGTGTATCGAACAACAGCGCGCGCGAAAGTCGCGCGGCTAAAGGTCACCGGTGCCGAAAGTAAGTTGCCGCAAAGAGAGTCGCATAGCGCGTCGCAATTAGAACGTCCGGCCTCGTCGTCCGCTCTTGCGAAAATCTCGTCCATGATCTCGCCGGGATCAGAGGTGCGAGCGTCGGCTCGGCTGCACCGAGCGAAACTGTACGTGCGAGTGTGTGGAGCAAGACGAGACGAGAATAGGAGAGAGAGAGAGAGAGAGAGAGAGAGGAAGAGAGTGAGAGAGAGAGAGAGAGAGAGAGAGAGAGAGAGAGAGAGAGAGAGAGAGAGAGAGAGAGAGAGAGAGAGTAAGAGAGATAGAGAGAGAGAGAGAGAGAGAGAGAGAGAGAAAGAGAGAGAGAGAGAGAGAGAGAGAGAGGAGAGGAGAGGAGAGAGAGAGAGAGAGAGAGAGAGAGAGAGAGAGAGAGAGAGAGAGAGAGAGAGAGAGAGAGAGAGAGAGCAAGCTTACCTTCCGCGGTCGTCAGCTCCGATGGGTCCGGTAGACCGAGGGCTGGCCGATCGAGGATAATCCAGAAGACCAAGACGGCGCAGAACAGTCGCAGGGCGATTGGTCTGCACCGACGGAGGGTTCCCGATGATGACGACGACGACGGCGAATACGTCGGCGACGGACAGGCCGTCGCGGCGACGCGCATCTCTACGACTGCTGGCTCCTGGCACGCGGCACACCTGCGGCCTACGCGTCGTATTCGCACGCACGCACCCGCGGCCGTACGTACCTGCACGCCCGCCCACGCAGGTCAACCCTGCCTGGCCTACTTCCGGTATCACATCTCCGGCCGATCGCGGAGGCGCGCGCGATCGATCACGCGCATAGTCGCCGCGGGACCCGACGCCGTAGCTCTCACCCCCGCCGACCCTCCTCGTGGATCCCCCGCGCGCTTCGGCGATCTAGCGGTGGTCCTCGTTGTCGTCGGTAGGCGAACACGCCGAAAGCGCGGCGCGGCGACGCGCCTCAGCTCGGGCTCTCCTTCGCTCGAGCGAGGGGAGAAAGCAGCTCGTGACGCGACGCGACGCGACGCGACGCGACGCGACGCGGTTCCGTCGAGACGGCCGAATGCGACGAGGCTGAAGAGCGCGCGTTGCGGACGCACCACCGGGGGTGCTGGTGGACGACGGTCTGATCTCGCTCGCTCGCTCGCGAACCGTTCTACGTGCTCCGTGAGGATTGCGTCGCGCAGCGGAGAGGCGCGGGCACCAAGCAACGACCGACCGGTCTCTGCCTGCTTTGCCTGCCTGCCTGCCTGCCTGCCTGCCTGCTTGCTTGCCTGCCTGCCTGCCTGCCTGCCTGCTGCTTGCTTGACTCGCCCCGCGGGTCGCGTCGCGTCGCGACGCCAGGGCGCCGACGTCCTGCGCAATACAGCCGAGCCACGTTTCCTCCACCCCCTTGGCCGCCGCCGCCGCCGCCGCTGCCGCCGCCGCCGCCGCGGCCGCCACCACCGACGGTGGCGGCGGTGTTGTACCGCGCCGCGGCGTCCACCCCCTTGGACCTCCCGCGCGCGCGGACGACGGCGGCGGCGGCGACGGAGCGCGCGCTACCTCTGAGTCATTCCTCGGGCAAGACCCGCCGATGCACCGTGGCGTAAATATGCACGATCGTCGGCACGACCCTCCGCGACGTATACGTCGTCGATACCGTGGCCGCGACCGTGTGGTGGTAATGACGCAGCGCGCGCGGCCCGCGATCGTGCACCCACCCCGTCGTTCCCTCCCGCGGAGGGCTGCACGAGCGACGGCCGCGGCGGCATCGGGGCTGGACGCGACGCGACACGACGCGACGCGACGCGACGCGACGCGACACCCGGCCGGCGCCGTGCGACGGCGAGCGCGCGGGGGTGTTTCAGCACACTGCGTGGCCGTTAATGTTGAATGATGCCGAGGGTGTCTTGGCCCTCGACGGAGGGAGCGTTCTCCTTGGGGCGGATCAAAATCGATTGTTCGCCGTGCCAGGCGGCGGTGCTCCTCCTCAACTCGCCGCTCGCGACCCCGCGCGATTTGACCATTCGTGGCGCGAAATTGGGAATTTGATCACTCGGCCGAAGAACGTGACGTTGCGGTGAAATGTGGCCGCGGAGACGCATCGGTCACTTCGGGAATTGAATGTCTGGAGAGAGTTGCCCTCTGGTAGAGTCCAATTGGACGCTGCTTCGGCAAGTTTGAAGATTTTTGGGCGAGGGAGGGGGGGGGATTGCGGCTGCTGCTCAAACGGCACGCAGCCTCGACGATCTTTCTTGCGATCTTTATTCGCTCGAAGATTTGCAGATTCCCGCTCTCCTTTACCTTGCACAACAGTTGCACAGCGGCTCAAGAGCGTGCGTATTCCGTTCAGGGTGGCTTACATATTATACGGGTGACGTGAGTTTCCCTGAAATGTCCAGATCAGCTCGTGCGATCGTAATTTTGTTCCTTGATGTAGATCGATTACCTCTCGTCGCACAACGACGCCGACGGAAGTTGCAGTACTCGCTGTACACGTTGCTCACAAGTAAACCTCGGGGAACGTCAGGCGCCGATTTGTTTCCAATTTTTTATAGTGATTTTTTATGTCGAAATATGAAGAAGAAATCTGTTGTCATTTTTAGCTTAAATTAATTTTTTCGATTCTTTCGAAATTCTTCAAATTTTGCACAAGTACGCTATTTTATACATATTTAAAACAATGTTTCTTAAAAATATATATATCTGATTTGTTGAAACTTGCACACTCATGTCGCCGATTATGAATCAGAAGCGTTTTGTAAAATTCCAAATGGCGGATCGAATATGGCTGACGTCATTGTTGAAAGAGCGTTCGGTTTTACGCTGCATTCGACGTTGGGTAATCTTTCGGCTCACTATCCAGCAAACAGGCTCATTTTAACGTCAAAATCTGATAAAAAATGAACAAGAAATGAACAAAAAAAGAATGAACAAAAAAGAAATTGAGAAATTTCGATAAAATTGAAGAAATTAATTTCACCTAAAAATGATAACAGATTTCTTTACATTTTGACATTAAAAATAACTATAAAAAATTGAAAACAAATCGGCATCTGATATTACGGATAATTTGAAGAATAATTGAGAAAATTACGCAGCTTGTACCAATGTAATATATGTGTAGCGGTAAATATACAAAAATAAATCCGTCGCTCAGTCGAACGTTTCGATCATCGGGCGCAAATGGGGAAAAAAGTGCAGAACGTCACTCCGCCGCGGTGCAGCGCACTGGAAGCGCGCGGAGCTTGCCAAAGAGCACAATGCGTGTTCTAGAATGACGGAGCACCGGAGAGTGACCGAGATTTCACGGGTTTTGCAGGTCCGCTGTCGCGGAGCAGCGTACGTATAATTGCGGGATATTCCGGATAATTATACGCGTGTGCACGCGTTAATTAGACGAAAAGGAGACGGCGGAGAGGGCGCGGGGCGCGCAGGTAAGGGGCTTGACCGCAAATTAACGTATTTGTCGCGAGAAATAAGCGATATACCAATTACCCCGAGATAATTAAAAGGCTCCCGGTATAATAGCCGGCGGGATTTCATGTGTTTTAAGCGGTCCGTTAGGAATCGCGCGCAGATCGATCAATCCGAGGTGATAATTATCGACTCACACGTGGCCGCACGGGACACGGACGTGCTATAATTATGTGTTAAAATAACGCTACGTCGGGTCGCCTTTGATATTAAATGTGCATGCTCCGGCAACGTCATTCGCATACATGTAGCGCGATTTTTTTCTTCTCGGAATGTTCTCTCTCTCTCTCTCTCTCTCTCTCTCTCTCTCTCTTACACACTGCGCCATTCTGAACAAGGACGCGCGCGCGCAACTTTTCTGTCTTTCTTTATTTTCTCCAGTTATTCCCTTTTTTGTGTTGCGCGCCCTTAGTTATTACGTAACGTCGTGTAATCGGTCGTGCATATATCGACTTACCCTTTACTACTTATTAAGCTCTTTCGACATTAATTAGCTCCACTTAGCATCTCTCGTCCTCCTCCGCGACGTGCGCGCGGCGTGCTCGCGCGTATAATCGGGACTGTCAATTCGCCTTTTTATATTATTCAATTTCCCGTTTGAGGCGCGCGCGGCACGGAATACGAGTAAAATATCGCTTCCTTTTTATCCGGCCGTTTATAACGGCCATCTATTCCTAATAATAACTTCATTGATTATGCGATATACTTAACTCTTTCTCTCTCTCTCTCTCTCTCTCTCTCTGATTAAGTGCGGCGTATTTCTAACACCTCGTGTCATTGGAAATGCTTTCCGAAATAGTGAATCGGGCCTTTTCCTTTTAAGTCCGATCCACTCCACAGCACGTAGCAAGACACCGTTCTCTCTCTCTCTCTCTCTCTCTCTCTCTCTCTCTCTCTCTCTCTCTCTCTCTCTCTCTCTCTCTCTCTCTCTCTCTCTCTTTCTCTCTCTCTCTGTATGCGTGGTGTTCCCTTTTTAGGTAAAGCCGGCTGAACATTCTCGTTTACAGCTAAAGAGCGCTCTGACGAGTCTCTCGACCGTGCTATTTGATACGATCGTGGGGTTAATGCCGTTTGATTTATTACTATTCAACGTCGGGCACTGGCCCGCTTCACCCTGACTCATTTAACACCCGATAATTACAACGATTTTCTCGGTTTGCCTGTAATTATTCAATGCACCGTGCGATATCGCCGATTGCTCGCGAATCGACTCGCGTCGGCTCGCGCGTTCATCGCGATCGCCGGAGCGAAGAGCAGAGTCGTCGCGACGCTGTGTCAACGGGGGAGGGGGGAGGGGGTAAGACGCCCTGCGGAGGACCGATTCCTTCGATCGAGCCGGCGAGCGAGTGCCAAGAGTAAGAAAAAAAGAGTTTTAGACTCGTCGGCCACGCCGCTGGTGGCCCACTTTTACCCGGCGAGCCGGTCTTATGTAACGCTCTCGCGCGCGCTCCTCGATCCTTCTTCCGCTCACGTAAAAGCGTGCTGAGCTCCGTTAATGGCAGAGCCGATGAGGAAACGCCAAAACCTTCGGCGAGATGCAGCGAGAGAGACGTGGTCGGCGACCTGTCGAGAGGCGAGAGAGGTCCGTCTCTCCGCTCTCTCGCGAGCTCGTCGACGCGGCGTCCAGCGGCGACATGATCGTGTTCTTCGGGGTCGGAGCTGAGTTACAGCCAGGTTTAGGCGACGTCGTAACTCGATATGTGCGGATACACATACACACACACACATACGCGAGTACACGTCTTTCGACGGGATTATTTGGCGCTTTGACTGACACGTTGATATTCGCCGACTACTTCGACGCTCGACTCGAGTTCAAATCGACGGGAACCAAGTGCGACTCGCGACAGGTGTATCCGGATCATCCGCTCGCTGCCGGTTACATGTTTGATTTATCGTATACGCTCCCCGAATTTCTTCGTGGATTTTCCCTCGGAAAATGGAGCGACTGCTGAATCACTCGAGTTCCAGCGGTTCTTTGATCATATATATATACAGTGGATTCCCCGAATTGCTGTGAAAATCATCGAATGTACTTGACAATATTTTTGCTCAAAGCTGAAGACTGAATCCGACGCACTCCCCATCGTCGTAGAAATATATTTATACCAATCGAACGGAGTACTCGCTTTTACGCAGTCAGAATCCGCTGTAAGCTCGAGTGAAGAATAACATACATTCTCGCGATTTCGTGTGGCGGTATTTTCGTTACCGTCCATGCCCTTCGCTCGTTTCGTACGAAAGTCCAAAATTTAAAAACCTGAGGGGGCATTTTGGTTAAAATCAATTTGCGAGGCTCACTGGTGGTACACTGAAGCGTCGCTGAGCGGCCAATGTGTCAACACGTCGCGAACCGTTCGCTATAAGTAATTAGCAGAGAAAAAAGTATCGATTGATATTTCCCGCGGAGAATTGCAACGAAGCGAGCGCGAAGCCGAGGCTGAAAACGCGAAGGCCGGGCGAACACGCCCGGCACCTGTTCCGGCATTCCTTTTATTCACATTGAGCTATGCATGAGTTTTGCCGAACGACTCCAGCATGCAAGCGCGCGTTCCTCTAAAGGCGCTTCGCGGCGAAACGGGTTCTCCTAGAACGCCGCAGAAATCACAATTCGCGTTCGATCGATCGCTCGATCGATTGCGCAAGTGCGCCTGACGGGTCGGGAACCTCTTTCACTTGGGATTTCTCAGCGTCATTTTTCCACGCGGGAGAACAAATAAACCGGTTGCCGGGGAGAAAACGAACGCTGATAAATGTCACGGCGACGCGGTTGCCTCCGATAGCGAGAGAAGACGGTGAGGTAGTAATTAGGGAGGTCCAGATGATAACCGGTCAATGAAGCGGCCGAAGGCTATGGAGGAGACGCGCATGTGTGTGTGTGTGTATTGTTGGCAATTTTTTTATTGTTATCGGAAGAACATTCGCACTTGTGCGCGGCGGTGCGCAATACAATAATATTCTATGCGAGATAAATCGTTGCACTCGGCGAGTGTTACATTGTAACGAGATGCACGATCGACGGACAATTTTAATATCCAGCTGGGAAATCTATCCTTTGGCGAGTCGGGCGCTTCGTCGATGTCTGAGAACGCTGACGGCACGGTGGCGAATTATTATTGGACCGCCTGTGAGGTCAGGTCGGACCAGAACGTCGCGTAGTCTTTCAACACGGTGCCACTGAAACGAGAATAAAATCGCTCTGTAATGAAAAGTTGCCGTCGAATTTCTCACTTTGGCCGCTTCTCGCAGCTTCGTGGAAAGAACCTTCGCAAATAGGATCGACTTTCTGCCCGTGTTTCGATCCTCGATTTTAGAATCGAATTTTATGCCAAAAGATCTAGTTTATGATGAGACATTAATTACAGAAAAGTTTTACGTTGCAGCATACGATTGATCTCAAAGATGTAGAGGGTCAAAGTGGTCACTACTTACTAAGAAAGTATGACACTAATAACGCTTTAAAAACGCACGAATTTGTGCAAAACTCGATATCTATGGATTCTTTGAGTTGCTGATTATGAATGTCTGATGTCAGATTTTAAAAATTCAAGATGGCAGGTGCAATGGCGGACACATATAGTGAAAAACAATCATCTACTTTTATTGGGACTGTTATGTTGTGGCTTTTTTTTGGCTAGCTGGTTGCGAATTTTCTATTAGGTTTCCGAAAGTAATTTTTTCAACGACAATTTTTGAGTGGAAAAAGTCTCGTTTTTTTATTGTTTTTTCATAAAAAAAAATATCAAATTCAAATTGATACGTTACATGACGCATAAAGGATAAAGTGATAATTTTATTTGTTATATTTAGAAACTTATCTTGCCTTTATTGGCTGGATAACTTTTTCATCTTGCCTTCACTGGCTGGATAACATTTTTATCTTGCCTTCATTGGCTGGATAACTTTTTCATTTTGTCTTCACTGGCTGGATAACATTTTTATGTTGCCTTCATTGGCTGAATAACTTTTTCGTCTTGCCTACGCTGAAGGTAAATGTAAAAAGTAGATAATTGTTTCCGCTATTTGTGTCCGCTATATTACATCCGCCATCTTGAATTTTTAAAATCTGACATCGAATTCGTAATAAGCAACTCAAAGAACCCATAGATACTGAATTTCGCGAAAATTCGTGCGATAAAACGTTATTGGTGTCAAACTTCCTTAGTAAATAGTGACCACTTTGATCCTCTATATCTCTGAAACCAATCGTATGCTCAATGTAAAACCTTAATTTTGTGTGATTTATGTCTTATCATGAGCTATTATTTCGCATAAAATTTAATTAAAAAATCGGGGACTGAAAAACGGGTACTTTTTGCGGAGGTTCTTTCAAATCCCACTTTGCGCCCGGGACGATTTTATTATGTTGGATCGACACGTTGCGCTCGATTGCGCGCGCGCGTACCTCTAGTTCGCTCGACTCTTGCAATCTTAACGATGGATCGCCTTCCCGGCAAATTTCGAGAATTCGCTCTCGTAAACAGTGAAATCTCTCGCGAGGAGTGGAGTGAACGTAAATGTAATCGGGCGACGAAATCTCATTCCGTCATTACAATTTCATCCCGGGCAAGCCGATCGGCGCGTGAAAAGGGAAAAATTCTCCTCTCCTATTGCGAATTACGCCGCGAGAATGATTAATAATATCGTAAAATTATTCTATGAAGGGTAAATTGACGCGAGGCTCATCAGAGAATTTCTAAATGGGGGGAGGACGAGGAGGGGGAAACACCGGTGGGCGGCGGTGCTGAGTCACCGCGCGCCAAGCCGACGTTGATGAAAAATTATTAAAAAAAAAAAAGAGATGGGAAAAAACGTCCTCTCCTCGCGCGAGTTTGCAATGCGGCTGGAAATACGTCGATGCTATTTATAGCGGTGAACAAATTACGGCTCGCTACTTGTTCCCGAGTTTTTCGTGGCTGGAGGCGAGGTTGCGAACGAGCACTCGCGGTCAAACTTTCTAACGCAAAACCGCGCTAGGAAATTCATCGAGTTATTAGCGAGTCTCGCTCGCGCGCGCGATATAATTTACGGATTTGCCGAGTGTGATAAAGGCAATTATTTCCGACGGCCGATGTCGTACAATTAGTCCTGCTGCGTCATCGCAAACCGACCGCGAGTTATTGCGCGTCCATCATGCACGCGCGCGCACGCGAGACTCGTTCTACTGTTATTAAATTTAACTACTCGCCGGGAGGGACGCGTCTGCGAGCGCTCTCGTTCGGGGAAAATATCCCGCGATGTGCATTACTCGGTGTGTGAAAGTTACCAACGGCACGGCCTGATCGTCATGAATGAACGCGAGCTCGCGGGTCGCCTGCGCGAAGGAAACCGCGAGCGAATAAATTTCTAGCTGGGAACGTTTGGCGACGCGTTTGGCCCCCGCGAAAATTACACGCGACAACTTGTTCTTCCCCTGAGAAAAATTTACGACACATTAGCAAAGCCAATTATTCCATTTTATATATTTGATATAAATGATTAGAAGAATGGACCGTTTGAAAAAGTCCAAGTTCAGAGAGAGGGATGATAAAAGATCGCGGGTGTAATTTGCGCTGTATATTTATTCCACGTTCCCCCCCCCCCCCCCCCATCCTTTAGTTCAACGGGTCGAGACGTCTTCATTGCGCATCGAGTCTCGCTTGTCTAATGAAGGAATTCGGGACGCAGCGTTCCGCGGTGAATTCCTAAGAAGGACGAGAATTGCCGTGCGAAATTGTTTCGCGCGGATCCTTACGCAAGCGTCTCTCAATCGTAAATCCATCTAAATCCAGGACACAATAGCGTGTGTGTATCATTGGAGTTACATTCCATCTCGCGAGAGAGGAACAAAGAGGAAAAAAGAGGACGAGCTAATTAGAGGGTAATTACGCGGGGAAAAACAACACAGCCTTGACGACGTGGTGATTGCGACACGAGTCGCCGCGCCTCCAACGCGTCGCGCGACGTGAGCTCGCGTCCTTGGCGGAATTTGTTGATTGCGAGGGGAACGAGGTTGCACTCACGTGAAATATACGCTGCCTCGCGCGTTCGGGGGTGCGTTCCAGAGGAAGGTGGCCTGCTCCTTGTCGCGCGGGTCCGCGTGCGTAACCGCGCTGCACTCAGGGTGAGTGTTCGTGTTGGGAGTTTGCGCCCAGGAGCCGGTCCATTCGTTCGTCTTGCTATCGCGTGCCTGCAGGAAGAATCCCTTGAACGCGCCGCCTACGATGGTGACTGAAAAACAGACGAGCCGAGTATCAATAAGAGGAGGCGGGAAGGGGTGAACGGAGTGATTGGTTTCGGATAAAATTCGGCCGGCTCTTTGTCGCTCGTGTACATCTGCGTGTTCGCCGATGATGTAGCGCTTGTTGCCGTGACGCACGTGAATTTCACGTGTTCGAGGCAATCTCGCTGAAATCAGCCGATATCGCAGAAGTGATTTCGCATCGAGGAAGGCGGCGGCAACAGTTGCAAGCCGGCGCCGGGCGGCGGCGGTGTAGGCCGTTTGTCAAAATTGCGAAAATAAAGAGCAATACACTGGGAAAAAGAATCTAGTATCTCTAACAAAACTGTTTAGTTGAGGCATTTTTTAATAGCGACCAAATATCTTGTTTTATATAACAAAATATCTTTAGTTGTCCCAACTAAATATATTTTCTTCTGCTTTGTCCTCTGGACCAAATGATTTTGTTCTTGCATTAGGAAAAAACATTTAGTATCTCTAACAAAACTGTTTAGTTGAAGAATTTTTTAATAGCAACCAAATATCTTGTTTTATATAACAAAATATATTTAGTTGTCTCAGCTAAACTTTGTTCTCTGAACCAAATGATTTTCTTCTTAGACTTTATATATAAAAATTAAGCATTTTAGTAATTTCATCCATAAAAATTATATAATAACGAAATATTATTTTACATAAACTAAAGTAATGCCCAATGGATACTATTTTGTCTTTCTCTGCACTAAAATTTAGATTTTATATATTAAGAAAAAATTATAGTATTTTTAACAAAATTTACTTAGTTAAAGCTTTTTGATTGTTGTAACAAAAGTATTACGTTATACGAGCAAACCGTAATCAAACAAAATATTTGTTTGCAGGAACTAAACATTTTTGTTGGGAATATTTTAACCAAATTATTTTGTTGTTGCAACAAAATTTTGGTTCACGCAACAATACATTTTTCCTAGTGTAGACTTCATATATAAAAATTAAGCATTTTAGTTATTTTATCCATAAAAATTACATAATAACGAAATATTATTTTACATAAACTAAAATAATATCCAATGGATACTCTTTTATCTTTCTGTGCACTAAAATTTAGATTTTATATATTAAGAAAAAATTATAGTATAATATTTTTAACAAAATTTATACAGTTAAAGCTTTTTGGTTGCTATAACAAAAATATTACGTTACACGAACAAACCGTAATCAAACAAGATATTTGTTTACAGGAACTAAACAGTTTTGTTGGGCATATTTTAACCAAATTATCTTGTTACAACAAAATTTTGATTCACGCGACAATACATTTTTCCTAGTGTAGAATGTAAATCTGAAAGATTTGATTTCGCGAGAGCATTCTATATTAAACATTTATATAAACGTAGAACGTAATTTTGCATCCAAGTTGTTCACTTATTTATTCAACGGGATTGCATCGTTAAGAACGTAAGCCCGGAATCTACCGCGGTAATATACACTATTTCCGCGGCGTTGAACTGTTTATCATCGAGCGCATTGAAACCGCAACGAGCGGCGTCGCGTTACGTTGATTTAGAAAAAGTGCAGCGCGCTCAAACGGGAAACTGCGAGCAACGCGAAAAATTAGGGGCGCGAAATGAGCAGCCGGAAAACGCGTAGGTCGTATCAGCAATATGCAGCAACAATTGTATTGCGCATCGAGTCTTTCGACGAGTGTGTGTTGTTTCAATGCAGGTACGCGCGCGCGCACACACGCACACGTCTCTCGATCGATCCTGCATCAAAGAAGGCCACCTTTATCTAATGCTTGCCTCAAGTCGCGGCGATGCACTTGAGTCTTGTAGACTGCGAGCGAGATAAGGCACGGGCCCCTCATTGAACCTTATCAAGCTTTCGTAAACTCGCGAAGAGCCTCGCGTCTTATTAATATCGCTGTTCAATTTGCGAGCGGCGGGACAGATGCAACGATAGATAGTATAGAACTCTTTCTTTTTCCTTCTTATTGTTTTTTTTCTCCTTTTTCTCTTCCTCTCTATCTTCCTTCCTTTTTCTTTATTTTTTTCTCTTTTTCATTACTTTCTTTCACTTTTTATTGTATGAGGATTTTCTTACTCGTTTACTACTGTATCAATCTTGTACACCAAAGGGGTCAGACCCGTATATTATTAATAAATAAATAAATAAATAAATAAATAAATAAATAAATTTGTGAAAAGCGTCCAAGTGAGATTTCGTTGGAACGGATCTTCGCGTATCTACCGTGAACGACGTCGTAACGAGCCAAGTCGATCGCAATTTTTCAACGGGACGTCAATCGGCTGCCCTTTCTCGCGCCACAGCGCGCTCTCTCCGCCCTCGCCGCTCCTTCTCTTTTGTCTCCGCGAGAGAGCGTGTGCACGGGCGAGCTACACTTGTCCCGCTTCCAATTTCTTCCAAGAACCGTGAGAAAACGCGAAGAAACGCCGAGGAACAGAGAGGTACCTTCGAATTTAATTTCCGGAGTCGGTGGAATCCGTATATAGTGGCACTTTGTCGAGCGCTACGTCGAGACACTTCCGTGCTTGTTTGGCGAGCGGGAGCATTTCCAGCTTGGCGTTCACGCAAATACGTTACGCAAAAGCTCACGGTTCCTCGGCCACGGTGCCGATCTTGCGCGGATAAATGACATTCGCGCTTCGATCACACCCTCGCACAGCCTCGCGAGCTGCTCCCTCACGCTCGGAAGACACGCGAGCGAGCGCGCATCCTCTTGTCCTCCTAATTTGCTATTGTTCCGCGATTTGGCCGCGCCGGTTGGGGCCGACAGAATGCGTCATTGTCGATGTTCGACGCATTTCACGGTTGCCACGCTGATTGATTCGATTGTGCCGCGTCGGACAAAACGCAAGCTTCTTTGACGGGAACGCGACGAACTGCCTCGTGACGTGCACATGCGATGCGAGCTCGGCCCGCACATGCGACATAATTTCCACCCTCGGCTATCTCTAGGATATCGCTGGAATCCTGTGATATTCAGATCTCTGTGTATTGATATCGCCTGACTCTCTCTCTCTCTCTCTCTCTCTCTCTCGGCAGAGCTGAAAGCGCGCTTCCTCTCGGGGAAATTGTTATGAATGACAATTCGCTGTCGTATCGGTAGAAAATCTTGGGAAAGCACGTCAATACATTTTTCGTACTCCCTACATTATAATATTATAATAATAATAACAATAATAATAATAAATGCATAATTGTATGATATAATCGCACAAATACGCAAGTCGCACATGAAGGGAAGCAAGACAAAAAGAATTTTTTCTCCTTTTCTTTTCTTATTTTTTCTTTCCTTTTTTTCTTTCCTCATTTCTTTCTTTCGTTCTTTTTCTCTTTTTTTCCTATTTACTGTATGAGCTTCTTCTTACTCGTTACACTATTGTCTCAACTACTGTACACCAGAGGAGTCAGACCTGTATATTATAAATAAATAAATAAATAAATAACACAAAATAATTATAAAAGTTAAGATTCTTTAGAATCTTGCGAGTAATTTACAAGAATATGTAACGTAATGATAATTATATAATGATAATGATGAACGACCAACAATATATAAAAAATATTTCGTATATAAAATCCTCGTTGAAGAAGAGTCAGTATCTATTGCGACATAAATATCAAAGACATGCGCCATGATATGTGCGCCCGAAATATCTGATAAAATTTGTCGCAAGGTCTTAGTAAATTCGCCGCTTACGAAGAGGCTAACCTCCTTCACAAAGGGGCTGAGTTCACAAAGACCTTGCAACGTATTTGCAGATACACGAGGAGCATCGCGGTCATTGTCGCGCGTTGAACTTACCGGTGATCTGAGAGCCCGGTTCGTATCGCGACGACGAGGCCACTATTTTGTAAGGGCTCGTGTTTAAGGGCTGCGACCGCGCTTCGCCATGGTAGGGTTGATTCGGCCGTGGCTTCACGCAAGTGTCCACCGGCGCGCCGTCCGGGAATCCGAGGACGGAGATCGAGGAGACGACGACGAGCGCAAGCAGGATCGCGATGTGCCGGATGAGGAGACGCATCTTTTTCGCTTCACTTCTTCCGTTTCGACGATTGAAATTCAACAAAAATGTACGTGATTACTCGGAGGCAGAGGTATACGGTGGAGGGGGGCGATTTTCAAAAATCTCGCAGGGTCGCACTTGCACTGGGAAAAAGAATTTAGTATCTCCAACAAAACTAGTTGAGGGATTTTTTAATAGCAACCAAATATCTTGTTTTATATAACAAAATATTTAGTTGTCCCAACCAAATATATTTTTCTGCTTTGTTCTCTGGACCAAACGATTTTGTTCTTAGACTTCATGTATAAAAATTAAGCATTTTAGTTATCTCATCCATAAAAATTACATAATAACGAAATATTATTTTACATAAACTAAAGTAATGCCCAATGGATACTATTTTGTTTTTCTCTGCACTAAAATTTAGATTTTATATATTAAGAAAAAATTATAGTATTTTTAACAAAATTTACTTAGTTAAAGCTTTTTGATTGTTGTAACAAAAGTATTACGTTATACGAGCAAACCGTAATCAAACAAAATATTTGTTTACAAGAACTAAACAATTTTGTTGGGCATATTTTAACCAAATTATTTTGTTGTTACAATAGAATTTTGGCTCACGCAACAATTTACATTTTTCCTAGTGTGCTTAAAACGCGTGTGTTAAGCGTGAAATATCGAACTTGATCGGAAGATGCACGCGTCTCGCTTGGACGTTCATCGCGGAATTCGACGTTGCTTGTAACTTTTCTCACTCATCCCGATCGGAGCGGTACGCACTCGAGCTCATTCATAAATGTCCGACTGCTGGAAATTTGCATATCTTCGCGCTCCAAACTCGGCCCGCATCGACGCAGCGCGTCCCCGCATCGGAACCGACAAACTTTAAATTACTTCCCGCTATAGTTTAATTAATACCTGACTATACCGCGCGCGAAGTAACTCGCGAAGTATATCGAAAATAAAGTCAGGTGGCACGACAGACGGTCGTTTACGAATTCGTACAATAGCGTCGATGTAACGCGAACATATCCCCCGGAGGAACATCGATAACTCGATAACTTCGCTCGCAGCACTCTCGTTTTCTCATTTATGTTTACACCGACCTGCCGTTCTGCGTCCGCCGTTATTTCGATATTCCGGCTTGGTGGGTAATACATTGGGTAAATATCTACAAATACCCGCGGTAACGGAGACACTGTTAAACGAAATTTCAGTCCTTGGCTGGCCAATATACTGTTTGCGCACGAATAACTCGATTAACTGCTGTCGAGTACAAGCTCGAGTTGCGAACTTTGAGAAATTTACAATGACTTTCCGTTCGGGGCGGATTTAATTATTACTTAACTCGCTACGACACACTTCGATTCGGATAAATTGTGCGAATAATGCGCGAAGGGAAAGGAATCATTTCCCGGGAATGGATGATTTTTTCTAGGATAGCGCAAACTTACTTGGGGCGGTTCGCTACTATACGAGAATCCACACGATGATTCGCGCGAGAATAAAAAGATGCTCGCGACAGAACCGCGCGCAAGAAACTGCAGTATCCGACCCGGCGTAGGTAAACCAAATGTTGGCGGGATCCCACCATAGAATCTCTAACCTATACTCGATAAGCTTTTGCTAATTGAACACTTTCACTCGATCCTGCAACCGGTCCCCGCCTAGCTCTTTTAGAAGGACACCTTTTAGAAGGATACCTACACTAGGAAAAAAAATTTAGTATCTCCAACAAAAAAAACTGTTTAGTTGAGGCATTTTTTAATGTTTAGTTGAGGCATTTTTTAATAGCAACCAAATATCTTGTTTTATATAACAAAATATTTAGTTGTCCCAACTAAATATATTTTTCTGCTTTGTTCTCTGGTCCAAATGATTTTGTTCCTAGACTTCATATATCTTAGAATTCATATATAAAAATTAAGCATTTTAGTTATTTTATCCATAAAAATTACATAATAACGAAATGTTATTTTACATAAACTAATATAATGCCCAATGGATACTATTTTGTCTTTCCGTGCGCTAAAATTTAGACGTTATATATTAAGAAAAAATTATAGTATTTTTAACAAAATTCATATAGTTCAAGCTCTTTGATTGCTATAACAAAAGTATATTACATTATACGAACAAACCGTAATCAAACAAGATATTTGTTTACATGAACTAAACTAAGTTTCGTTGCGTATATTTTAACCAAATTACTTTGTTGTTACAACAAAATTTTGGTTCACGCAACAATACATTTTTTCTAGTGTACGAGTCTTATGTCAGAAAAATATACAGTCTAGCGCTTGTTTCGATTTTTCACAAAAATCGCAAATTCCGCCATCGTCGAGACCGACACGAGAATATTTCGAGGAAGCAGCTCGTCTCATTGACCAGGAGAAAACGCATGAATCTTCCCGAGCAAAAAATTATTAGGGCCATCCTCCTGAAATATAAGGGTCCGATAAGGCTGAAAGTAGGATGCCCTAAAAATGCTTCATTATTATCACATCAGGCCCCGAGACAGATCCTTTAGGAATACCTTAGATTTTATGGAATAAAACTTTGATAAGGAAAACTGATGAGGGCTTTAGAAGGATCTTTTAAGGATGCCTTAGATTTAATAAATAAGGCTTTGATAGGGAAAGCTGTTAAGGACCTTAGAAGAATTTTTTAGAAATGTCTTAAATTTTACGAAATAACAAAATAATTTTAGAAAATTAATAAGATCTGCAACGTATAATAAAATTGTCATAGTTTAGTATTGTTTGAGCAGGTACGCTCAAATTTTGTGCTTTTAAAGATGTTTTAATTATATCGTAATTAAAAACAAATTTTGTTAATTTTATTAGTTGCTATATTCATTAGCCTCTTCCAAGGGTTTTTTTAATATTGTCTTCGTTTTGAAATGCAGCAAACTTTAGTGAAAACAGTAGCAGGATCTTTCTATATAAAGAATGCTATATTTTATTGTAAAGCATGCTATATTTTTAAAATGAAAAATTCTTATATACTAACAAGGTTATAAATTTCTTGGAATGAAAAGGATATTGCCTCATAAAATCTCTGTTAATATTTCTTTATAAGGACCTGTTAAACAATTTGTTACACATCTTAAGGCCCTCGTCTTTCTATCTATATTAATGCTAAAATAATCAGGCCCTTATCAGAGCCGTATTAATTTTTCTATTCGGATTGCTGTTTTAACCTAGAAAGAGACCACTCGTGATGAAATTTTATTAAGATTGAGTCACTTGGCAGTGTATCGATTCGCGGGTATGTTGATTTAAACGCCACGCTCCACTGAAAATCATAATAGAGACCGCGTATGCTCGTTGGAAGTAGCGCATTATCCCGATTATCCGTGTGCACTAAACTCATACATCACTTGCCTTTTACTGCACGAGACAGTCTTCTGATTCGTGTGTTGCCAAACGAAATACTCGTTATTTGTCTGCCGTCGGAGATAGAGGAAGAAAAGTCATATGTGCTTTGCGTATTATCCGCGACGTTCCGTCTCTCTCTCTCTCTCTCTCTCTCTCTCTCTCTCTCTCTCTCTCTCTCTCCCCCCCCCCTCCCTCTCTCTCTCTCTCCCTCTCTCTCTCTCTCTTTTTCTTTCTCTCTCTCTCTCTCTCTCACGCGCAAAGTTCAGAACATGCTCGCCTCGCGACGGAATCTGTCAAACGATAATTTCAAGTGGATTCAAGTTGAGAGCGCAAAACGCTAACTAGCGCATCTCTCTCTCTCTCTCTCTCTCTTTATTCATTTCTAATCGCTCGTCGCGATTGCAGGCAACGCAGACGATATCGCGGAGAAGTATCGTGCACTTAAACTTCAACATCGCACAGCTGGTGCTCTCATGTCGCAAGACATTCGTTCCGCAACGCAATCTTTGGCATTTCATATGGCATTTATCGATTTATCAAGCGACAAGCGCTCGTAACAAATGGAGCTGTTGCATGTTGCATTCGATTACGTATTTCGCGCGGGTCTAATACGCTCCTTTCACCGACGACTGTCGAACGCGCGCTGTGCGTATGCGGTAACGCGGATAAAGCCGCGCGCTTTATGTAACTCTCGAGGCTCTCCGTGTTAACATTGACCTCTGCGCGATATTTTCTTCTTTCTTGTCGTCTTATTTACCAAATTTACCAATTACATGGCACTATATTATATTTGCACACACTCCGAGGCGTGGAAACTACACTAGGAGAAAAAATTTAGTATCTCTAACAAAACTGTTTAGTTGAGGCATTTTTTAATAGCAACCAAATATCTTGTTTTATGTAACAAAATATTTAGTTGTTCCAACCAAATATATTTTTCTACTTTATTCTCTGGACCAAATGATATTGTTCTTAGACTTCATGTATAAAAATTAAGCATTTTAATTGTATTATCCATAAAATTTACATAATAACGAGATATTATTTTACATAAACTAAAATGATGCCCAATGGATACTACTTTGTCTTTCCGTGCGCTAAAATTTAGATTTTATATATTAAGAAAAAATTATTGTATTTTTAACAAAATTCATATAGTTCAAGCTTTTTGGTTGCTATAACAAAAGTATTACGTTGTACGAACAAACCGTAATCAAACAAGATATTTGTTTACAGGAACTAAACAGTTTTGTTGGGCATATTTTAACCAAATTATTTTGTTGTTACAATAGAATTTTGGTTCACGCAATAATACATTTTTCCTAGTGTAGTTTCCGGACGTTATCGTGAGTGTATGCAAGTTTCTCTTCGCGCCACACCGATGCTGATTTCCTTTCGCAGCTTGATCTCTGTCAGTCGGAGAATGACAAAGCCGCTTTAGTGAGATAAACTTGTTTGGGAGCTAATCTGTATCTCTATTGAACGGACGTGGATCGATTACGAGTTTATTCGATAATACGAGCGCGTTACCGTACCGCGGAAATGATAGATCTCGATTCATTTAACCGAATAATAGGAAGCAATAATAGGAAGACGACGAAACCTCAGCGACGGTGCCTCGAGAAAAAGCGCGATTAAAAACATTCGCCTGAATATTAAGCTACATTGATATTCGGTTCAGATAAGTGAAAACACAGTTGACTGATTGGAAATCCCCTGCAGGCATCATTTTGTTCCTACCGTCGAGTTTTCCATTTAGTCCCCTGTTTTTCCTAGGAAATGAAAAATGTCAGTTGCACTGAGGGGACGGTTTTTCCCGTGTATACATTATACAATACATAGAATAGGGAAAGAAAAACTCGGTGCGCGTAATTGATTTCTTACTGCCTGGGGACCAGACGCAAACTCGCTTGTAGAAATAGAAAAATATCGTTTTTTGTCTCAGTGCGTTTTCTCGTTTGGTCTTTTCCCGCAGATTCTTTTCCGTATATAATTAATATCCTTTTTTTTCGGATATTTGACACACACACACACACAAGATAGAATTTAATCTCACTCGATTTATGTAATTTTGTATTTAATTTTTACTGCCGTTTTGAAGCAACAAAGTAGAAGAATTCTGCCGATTCCGTCACTCTGTGAGACTTTTCATTTAACGCCGCGAGAGCAAACGCCGTATATATTTAAATTTTCCGTCTCGTGTATCCTCGAGACCCAAAGTGAAATTGATTGTTCCAATTTGCCCGGTTAGTTGCTGAAAAGTTTCTAGACACCTTTGGTCTCGTTTTCCGACGAGTATTGTCAGAGAAGACGACGGCGCAAAACGCTCAAGCCGAGCGATTCTATTGCATGTTGACCCTTCGAACGAACTCACATAATGCAGAAGCGTGCGCGCGTTACATATTCGTACATACACGCTCTCTGACACATACATGCACCGTGGGTTCACTCAGTCAATGTGACTTTTCACACCGTATTATTGATTTTCCACGGCCTTTTCAGGCCGTCGGCTGTACACGCTAGAAATATTTCTTTCAGATTATCGTGCATCCCGTAAGAAAGGGAAGAAAGAAACTGCATTTGCGCGCATTCGTCTCTCGTGAGATATGTTAAAGAGACGTTTCGAATATCCTTTCCATTCTATCGTACAATGTGCAAATTCTCACGATATATGTGATCACTGATACAACTTTTATATTTTATTACTATGAGGAAAATGAGAAGTGGATTTATATCAACAGTAATTCAGACATTCTCAATCAGGATTCTGTTTATTACAAAAGAAAATTTTTATCTTATGAAAAAATTTGATTTAAGTTAAATATTGGTCTTAGATCATAAGATACGATAACATTGTTTTTAAATGTTGAAGCATTTTAAGAACTAATCCATAACCAATGCTCGAGACTTAGTTGCGGATTATTTATATGATTCTTCTTCTTTATATGAACGATGGAAAACTGAAATATATATATAATAATATATATAATAAACATGGAACCAAAATTCATCAGTCTAAAAATATGATTCTTACCGCATTAATTGTGATTGATCATATTTTAAGTAAATTGTTATACATCGGCATTCGCATGCCCTTATGAAAGAAAATATCAATTGCTCAATCGAATCATTGATATGTTCAATTGAAATTAATTGAATGTTCATTCTTATAATGATCCACAACTAGTTTCTTACATCCATCATTATTTTCAAGTCAATAAATATATACATAGCAATAGGTATATATACATAATTATCATATACAATAAAACTATTCAGAAACGCGGGCTATCGGGATATCTTTATAAAAAAAATGTACACTATGTAAAAAGATATATATTGACATAGTAATCTATCTGAAATCAATCTGGAGGAAGCCTACGGTTTCAGATAAATATAACAAGTCAATTTGAACACATAAATGCCATCTCTTTTCATTACAACAAATCGTAATGTTCATTGCGATTTATAATGATTTCCCATCTTCTTATGATGCCCTTTTTTGGGCATCATAAGAAGATGGGAAATTATTATAAACAGTATCATAAATCCTCATACGCTCTCACATATAAATATCATATATATATCTCAAAACTTAATCGTCTTTGGATAAGTTATCTGTGCCATACATATCGTTCTCTATTATTTCGATAGCACACGGCTGCGGCAGCCATCCTCTTATACGTCTCGTTCCTGCGTCTCCTACTCCCTTCTGCTCTTTTTCTCCAAATATCCAATACCTACAGAAAATTGAAGTATTTCCAGCGAATTTGTCGAACGTAACAAGGAATTTATGAGATGTAAAATTGAGATGGTGTTAAAATTACCTTTTCCAACGCGTTACGACTACGATATCTCCTACATCCAACTTGATGCGAGGCTCATCAGTGCAAGGTGTATGGAAACATACACTGAAGCCGTGTGTTATAGGTATATTCGATCCCGATGTGGGTTTTATGATTCTATATCTGCGGGCTTTTTTCCGTTTGTCTAGTTTTTGTGCGAGTTGTTCCCTCTAAAAATAAAAAAAAATATATATATACATATATTGTATAGATGTAGATGATGATTGAGCAATAACAATTGACAATAGTTTATAGAGATTTCTGTTTCTTACGATTTTCCATTATTCGATTGGTAATTGTTATATAGTAGAATTATCGTAATGAAATTACCGTTAAGGTGTATTGATCACAGCCATCAATAACGGGCCACGTAATGCCATCGCCAACAGGAGTGCAGTCCCACGTAAGAACTTGACTTACATTAAAACGCCATCCTCTCGAATAAGGATGCACGTATTTAGCATTAACAGTATCCCGCCGATACTGTGCTTTCTCCAAAATCCAATCTTCTATCTCCGTTTTATTTTTCACAATGGCCAACATCTATACAATAATTTGAAAAGACAAATTACAATATCTGAAAAAACGCATGAAAGTCGCAAATAGCAAGACTGAAAAGGCTATCACTTGCCTGGCAATACAATAACATTCCTACTGAAATTATAACACCGATTGATAAGCCGATACTAAATACCACTAATATCAACGTGCATACTGATGGTGGTGGAAATGGCAATGGTTTCGTAGACAGCACAGTTACCACCCAGTAAATTAATATAACAGTAGAGACGCAACAACCACCGACTGCGCTTGCTAAAAATGCAGTGAAATGACCGTGGTTGTAATGTCCGACACACGTATTTATCCATGGACAGTGATGGTCCATTTTCATAACACAGCGATCACCTAAGACACATACAACATTTTTCTTGTATATTTGCAAAATTAAAATATATTTATATCATATATTCAATCTCTTACATTTCCTACAATGATGTGATCTTGGTGCTTTGTACCCTTGGCAGACAGTGCAATACTGCAAATACTGAATATCTGTGGCTTTCTCCTGCAAGCAAAGTGGCGCATTAGTGAACAGCAAACATAACAGAACACAATTCATTCTTATACATATTATAAATGTACACTATTTAGTCATTGAAGTATCACATATCCCACATCTAATGTGATTCACCTTTTAAAAAATCTTCCAATCTTTTTTTTTTATTTACTATTTATAATAAATAATAGAAAATATATTACTGGCATCCATTTTAACGCGAGGTATCCAGGTCCTTCGAAAATTGCGCTGATAAAATGAAACAAGGTAGACCCACTTAGACAAAAAAACAATAAGAAACTAGCTGCAGCTGGAATATTATCTTGCGACGACCAGCACTGCCTGCTGCAGTGTATCGTCATCAACGTGATTGTCTTGATTATCCCTGCAATCGAAACGAGCACATTGAAAAAGAAAAAAAAACAGAAAAAACAAACTCACCGCATAATCGTCGTGTCGTGTTGACGATTCATATTGCGCGGGTGAGTGACGGTCGATGGCGCTAAAGAAAATGGACGCGGTTGAGTGTTTCCTATCGCAAAAGTCGCATGACGAGCATAATGACAACACACGAGTTACGACTCAAGTTCGCTCTATGAGCCGTTGCGCCTTCGCGACATCGCGAGAACGATGAGAATCTCAGAGAGACGTGTCGTCGAGGTCTCGTCGAAGCCGCTGATCGATTCGAACGTGACCGGCCGGCGATGCACGCGGTTCTGTCAATTGCGACCTTGTCAAGCGTAGTAGTCTCGTGATCGTCGCTTTGACGACGGTGACGACGATGAGGACGATGAAAGTCGATGAAAAATACCTGTCGCGTACCCACCTAGAGCTGAGAGCGGTGCCCAATGACATATCTTCTTGAGCGGAGCCATGCACATGTTGTCAGCATGAGGCGGCCGAGGAGACTTCGCGCCTTGGCGAGCTTGCGAGTCAACATCCATGCGATCGTTGGAATTGGCTTTTTTTCACGGTGACAGCCAATGACGATTGTTGAAGAAACAGATTCTTGCGACCGCTAGACGTGCTAGTCTTTATTGTCACGAGGGCGCATCTCCCGCCTCGCGAATCGCCGAAGCAGCCATAAGCAGTTGGTAATAGTGTCATGCAATCTCGCGCAGTCGCGTAACAGCTGGGAATCACCGACTTGGCTCGGAGAGATTCGGTTAGGTCGATGTTGAAAGCAGTGATGACGTGAGTCGTGGGAAAAAAGTCGAAGCGCGCACGCGCACTGAGCAAACGCTGTGGTAGCATCACGGATACATATAGTCCGTATTCCGAAATTCACCGCCAGTACTGAAAATATATATAGTTTGTGTCACGTAAACTATAACCTTTCAGCGCTGGCAGTGAATTTTGGAACACGGCCATATTTGAAGGTATCGTGTTAGGTCCCCACTATGAAAGAAATGTGAAGGAAATTATAGGGAAGGAGAAAAGCTTCTGTTCAATAAATATAATATAGTCTATATATGAATAATAAAAGATAATAATAAAACTTATTAATTTGTAACTTTTTTACATCTGCAGCCAATATATTATATTTATTATTCCTATTGCACTTATTATCACAACTCTTTCTTAACTTATCACTACATTTATCGCTACACTTATTTATTATAACATTTTACATTATGAATATATAACCTAAGTTACTCACGGGAGAAACGCGAAACAACCGTAATGGACAGACGCACGGAACCCTTCGCACGCACTATTTGCGTTTACATCCAGCATTGGAAACGCTTGCGTCGAGCTGTGACGTCATGCTCACGCATGCGCACAACAGCTCCCATATGTGGAGAAAACCTCCCACGACTTGTCACGACTGGTTGAAAGACGCATGAGAGTCTGTTTGCCGTGGTATGGATGGCGATCTCACACAGGTAGTTCCATTCAATTGAGCTTATTGTTCCCATTGTCTCTCGTACGTTTACTTGGGTAAAATTGGAACGAAAATAACAGAATCGTCGTCGTTATGTCGTTTCGTGTGTCATCGCGCAACCGTCGCGTTCTATCCCGCGCAAGGATCGCGAGTTTATTTATGTGGATCACGTAGTTGTAAACTGAAACTAACGACCCGTTCCAACCCGACGCACGAGGCCTGTTCGTTTTGTCGGCACTGCTGAACTGGTGCATTAAGTTAAAGTGAGACACGTAGGTTTTCTCACTTCAACTTGTTACACCAGTCAGCAGTGCAGACAAAACGAACAGGCCTATCACCTCATGATCACACCACACGTTTACACTTGTTAGACAGTTCGCACCGAGGCCACGTTCGCATCTCGCAACGTACATGCAACGTTTATACCACGATGAATTTGCCAGGCATGATTTAGCCAAGGTGTACATTGACACTCACAACGAAACACAATAAAGAATCGAACTAAGTTCAATTATGAAACATTATCAGCATTGCACAATCGCTTTTGGCCCGCTTATAAAATAAATTATACGTTATTGTTTTACAGATTAATGATATCTCACCGGTAGTATCCGCACCACTTGGACCTCAACGTCGGAGGCCTTTAAGATCAGACAGTCTTGAGGTAAATGATTGTTCGAACAACAATTCAAAAGGAATAGATGTACAATGTATAAAGGATATGTCCCAACAGCGACAAAAGTTAGACCATATAGATGAAAATGATGTATTATCTGATAATTCTGACCATGACAAACAAACGACAGATGATTCTGAGTTACAGACAGATGAGTCAGATAAAGAGAAAGAGTTATTTCATTCAACTCCAAAGTCCCGAAATTGTTCTACAACTTTTTACTCTCCAGAAAGCATAAATAATAAGTCTTTGAAGGATTCGTTAAAAAAATCTCCACCTGGGAAAACAGAATTTCAATCATCTAGTAGTGAACAAAATACAAATAATTCTTTTTTTTCCTCTCCTTTTTCTTTTGTTATAATTATCATATTAGCAATATCTGTCTATTTAGTTTTAAGCGTGACTAAAAGTACAAAGGAAAACAAAACGGAATTTATAAGTAATAAAGACTTGTTTAAATCCATTGAAGATGTTAAAACTAAATTTTACAACCAAGATTCATATATCTGGAATGATATTTCATCCGGAATAAATGAAGTAAAAATGAGAACTCCCAAAGTACCCTCCATCATTCTATTATTTGCAAATGAAACCCACACAATGGACTGTTTAGCGTCAGCACTGGCGCACTTGAGCAATAACATTCTAGGTGGTGACGGTCTTTTAAATTTAAATCCGAAAAATTTCGGAGACGATCCCGGTGAGATCATCGATGCTCTGAAAAAGACCTCAACGCAAAAGGCTGTGGTGAGTATGCGCGACACACATCTACATGCATCTCTAAACGTAAATTCGGTCGATACATCTCGATTGTGCTCACATAAATCTGTTGCAGATAATTCGTGATGTCTTAAATATTAATACGGAAGCGATAAAAGCGTTGCACAATTTGTGCGACAGGATAAACCCATTAATCCGAGAAGTTATTTATATCATTACGATGCAGACCAAAAATTACGAATCGTCGCAAAAGAAGATGGCATTTGTGGAGAAACAGATATACCACAAACTGTCGAAAAATATCGATGAGGATATCTTGATGGCACTCGTAACACGAATTACAGACGGAGCGATCATATTGGTACAACCCGAACCGAATCTGCGGTATTGTTGATTTGTCCAAGGCTCTAAGGGTAGGTCTCTAGACAATTGTTTTGTTTATAATGTGCATATCGATGATGCTATAGAATTCTGTATACTTTGTATTTCTTATATATATATATAAAAAGATAAGATTTTTTGGACATATCGCTCAAATTTCATACTAAAGTTTATTTTAATGTACACTATAAAATATAAAAATTAATCGCTTCTCCATTCTTTTGTGGTCACAATGCAATGAAGATACTGGATTTTCTTTTAATTTATATCAATCTTACGTGTTTGTTGATTATCGTAACTACAATCGCGCTTGTATTTGCACGTAAATTAAGGAAACTCAAATCGACGTCTTTCAATTTCACTTTATTTTGTTATGCCAATATTACACGAGATTAAATTCATCTTTAGTGAGTCTTCCTATATGATCACAATTTCATACTTCTATGTATTTTCAAAAAATATAACGGCACTGCTGTATCTAGCGATTCCACGCATATTTTCGAGAATGACATTTATTTAGCTCCAAAATAAAATACAATTAACAGAATTTCATTGTATGTGATATCGGATTCTCGTGTTATTGTGTCAGTCAGCACTGTCCGTGTACAGTAATTAAATAAGTAATGTCGAGTATCGTATTTTACTTATTGCCAATTTACAAGATTTCTCATTGCAATCTCCTAATTTAGTTAAAATTATTCCGCATATCACAAAAAAAAATCGTAAAACATAATTCGTCAATGTGCTGGAATTGGTACAATTATATATATATATATAACAAAATAACGAAGACTCGGTTTCATATAGTAATACTTTGTATGAATTATGATATATGTATAATAAATGTATAATAAACATAATATATATGTATAATAAACGATATATAAAACAGGTATTCATTGCAAAATTCTTGTTGAATTATATTATTCATTTTGAATACCTAAATATCAAAATATGTACATATATTTTAACAAATTATCCGCATATAATTTCATACAAATATAAAAATTTCACGTGATCCGTATTGCAGACTATTTCTCTTCTGATATGCGTTCGTTATTTCTCTTATACTATACAAAATTTTAACACAATACCAGCTTTATCAAATCCACCTTCTTTTTGATGTTTTCTTAAAATAGGTGACAAAAGTGAATTTGAGATAACTTTAAAACTTTAACAAGATCTATTTTTATATAGGTTTATTTTTTCATTGTAATAAGTTTCCTATCGACTTAATATATAGGGAAATAAAATATAATATCCACAATATTTATACAAACCAGTGCTTTTCAACCTTTTTTTCTTTTTTTTTTTAACGATTCAAAACATTCAAATGAAAGAAATTAGTGACAGATTTCTATAAATAGGTGTATACATATGTAATTTATATGCATTCTCCAAACGATTCAATATGAACGTTCGTGTGTATGTGTAAAAGTATTAAAAATTGGTTTGGTTAAAGTAACCACAATTATATTAAAAAAAAAAAAAAAAAAAAAAAAAAAAAAAAAAAAAAAAAAAGATCTCTGCTTTTTGAAGAAACATGAAAACTTCACATTGTAATTGATGAATGTTCATAAAATTATTCATCGCAACTATAATAATTGTCAAACCAATCATCGTATGTTTCATCCAATAACAGCATTGTAAGTTCTTTTCAAATTTTATTTAAAAGACAGCATGCATAACATAATGGGGCAAAAAAGAAAATTATTTTAAACTACATTTCTCATATACTACGCGATAAGCATTTTATAAATTGGCAACAAGTACCCATAGCTGTGCACCTTGCTAAGTTGAAAGATTCAGCAAAGCTTCAACTAGAGTGAGTTATAGTACAGTCGTTCTCTGTCGTAATAATTCAAATCGGTAACTAAAAGTAGACAGTATGTATAGAGTTTGTATAATATAATATAGTATCGTCAAACCTAAATAATAAATACATTTTATACAGTCATAGACTTTTTATACAGAATGTCCAAAATCTCTAATGATGTGCTGTACAATCCCAAAACACTACCGATTTTTCCTTTTCTTTTTTATCGTCTGCACACGAAGGATAATAATATTTTAATATCATCAAGCAGTTTTCTGCTTCAAATTCCAATTACAAGACAAAAATTATTCGATACATTCGCGAATGTTTATAACTAAGAACTGGTATATCTGGTAGCGGATTATGCGATGCTGAATTAATGAAAAACATATGTATAACAAGATCGGGGCATATCGCCGTTTGCGATTATCAACGTAAAAGAACCGAAGCATGCTTTGCGCGTTTCGCGTCGATGCAAAAACATGCCAATCACAGGTTGTAACCAAGGTTTCGGTCGTAACCACTTTCCATAAACTGATAATAGTATTGCATTGACGGCCGGATACGACTATTGCTTCGTTTCTTAAGGGCACTCTGTATAGAATAGCCTTAAAATTACGAGATACGTATTTACAGTAAAAAAGTTTAATTGGTCATGTTTCTATCTAGTATAGTAAGGAGGTGAGTACCGCGTTGCGTAATGTTGTCCGTGTTGGCTACATAGTCGCGTACTTCAGTCATTTAGTACCTTGCAGGTCAATGCAAGTATCATTTTCGTAATTCTTTGTCAGTCACACGTCGGACGAGGATGAGTCGGCCTCGTCAAAATTGTCTTGATCACTGTCTCCACTTCTACTTAAGCGCTAAGACGTTTATTCCTGTTACTCCTGATGAAGTGTATCCCATACTAAATATATGCAAGTATGAGTACGCAAGAAAGTGTTGTTACTACGCAAATCGCTTCAAGGCTTCAGGTTATGAAGGCATTGTCGCAATTTGACGTAATTACGGAAACTATAATTTTAGGTAATAACATACGGTATGTTGTTATAGTTCGTCTAAGATAACGAAAGAAAAAAGAAAAAAATAGAAAAGAAAAGAACATGAAAAGTAACTGTAAGAACTTTACTGCATAATTTGACGAAGAATAGATGACCTCTTTTCGGGGTAACATTAATATTGTTTGATAAAAATTCTGGAGCGTATGCACAATTACACATGCACAGATGCACAATTAAAATTATTTGTCGCGTCGATATACCGATTTTAGGGACACCATATATCCCTATAAAACAAGTAACTGTAAACACTTAACGAAACAAATGTTAGAGTTAAATTCAGAGTTTAAGGACAGTTGATTAGAATTCAAAGCCTTGAACTGGTAGCTGGGAAGAATCTGGTGTAGTGAATTGGTATTCTTGTCCTTGCGAATCGATAGAAGGTACCAGTCTGGTATCCTCCTCCTCGGATCCGAAGAATCGATCAATAATATCAAAGGCCTTTTGATAAATATCCATATTTTGATGAGATTGCAAGAATTCTATCTTATCTAGGCCTGAAACGTCACGATGAGCGATACTTATTATTAATAGACTGTGATCGAGGTGTGTCTCTCTCGTGTGAAATCTTAATTGAACATTTGATACTTTACCATAGCATTCTTCGATAAGGACCGCGTAAGGATTAAGACCATTGTGCATGGGCGCGTCTTGTTCTCCCAGACGCAAAATATTTTCCAATCCGTTCAAAGCAACCTGGACAATCTTGGGATCCATAACTGTCAGTAAATCACATAATGGTGGAATACACCCCTGCATTGCAAGGTACCGAATTTGGTCCGGCGTTCCGCCATTGGTGGCATTCGTGATTGCCCACGCTGCTTCTTTGCGTGTTTTAAATTCGGCTTTACCCAAAATGTCGATTAAAACCGGAAAGATATTGGCATCAATAACCGCCTATGAAGAAAAGAAAGCGAGAGGGAGGGAGGGAGAGAAAGGAAAAAAGATGAATGACATGTTGAACGATACATATATGTGAAATTGTAAATTTGCCAAAATTTGCAACGTACTTGTATCTGCTGTGGATTACCGGCAGTGATGTTGGAGACCGTCCAACATGCCTCTTTACGAACACTTTCCCGTGGAGAACTTAGAAGATTTAATAGACACGGTAATGCCGAGCAATTTAACACAACTTGAGTTTGCACGTCGTCCCCAGTAACTATATTTCCTACCGCACGAAGAGCTGCGCTCACTACATTGCTCTGATCATGCCTGAAAAGGAACGTTCACGTCGTTAGCGCGTTTAATCCTGCACATGATACACCCTGCGTGCATGATACACCCTGCGACGTACATAAGGAGTTCTATGAGACGTCTGCAAACACCGGCATCGATGACTGCCTGTATCTTATCATTCGGGCCATCGCTCAAGTAGGAAAGTGCCCAGCAAGCATCAGCGAGCACGTCAAAATCAGCATGATTAAGAAGATGTGCGAGAACTGGTAGACACGGAGCAACCTTGGCAAAGGCCGGCGCAGGATTCTTCCCCCGGCAAAGATTTGACAATGCCCATACCGCATTGCGAGTCATGGAGAGCCGTGTTGCTTTCGACAGAAGTCTGAAAAAGTAGCGTCATAAATGCAAATATTGGTCGCGATATTTGTATTTTATCGCACAACGTGAAAGCATTGAATTTAATATGTCTTCAAGTCTTCAAGTACAGCAAGAGTAAACCTTACAACCGTATCGTAGACGCAAGGAAACTTACTGTAAAAGTGGAGGGAGGATACCGTTGACTAACACATGATCTCTGCACTCGGGACTATCGCCTGCAATATTACCTAATGCCCATACAGCTTGTTCTTGCACATCCTCGTACTCAGAGCCAAGTAAAGATATGAAAGTAGGAACAGCCCCTGCATCTATTACGACACGCGTTTGCTGAGATGTTCCGCTCGCTATATTTGTCAATGCCCAAGCTGCTTCAAACTAACATATCGCATTGTCACTTAGATCAACTGGACGTTGTGTGAGACAGGACGTCTTAATGCCTAGATTTACTTCCGATTTACTAACCTGCAGCGTGCAATTTGTGTTATTTTTAAGAAATTCGACGAATTGCGGCACAATACCGGTCTGTATCACTTCATTTATAGGAGGATTCGGTTCCCTCGATAATAATTTTCTAAATTTCTGTGTTGCTGCCAGTTGATCCTGTATGTTAGGGCTGTACAATGCATCTACCATCTCTGATGTTATAATACCAGAGGAATGCTAGAATGCAGATTTGTCGCGCGAGAGACCAAGGTCATTGAGGAATAAATTATACATAAACGTAAACGATAGATGCACATTGTAATAATGGTGTTACCGATTGTTGTGTACGAAGTGGATATTCATCTGTTGATGTAACATTATCGTCATCCGCAACGATATTGGGTACATTGCGACGTTTTGACAATTGCTGCTCTCGCTTCTGTTTCCTCAACTGAACTCCCTCTTCCTCTCTACGTCTCCGCAGTTCTTGCGAATCCAATCCTACATTTTTATAACGATGTTTGTGTGTAGGTCCAGTTGACATCTATGAAAATACAAATACAATTTAACTATATACCTATATTAGATTAAACACAATCTCTTATGAAGTAACTCTTCTGTCAAATTTGATTATAATACAAGTCGGAACTTTTAAGAGAAGTATATTTGTGTCTGCTATAAGATTAAAATTGTTTACTCACTGTTCACATGCTTATTCGCATGATAATAATTAATTATAACAGGAACCAAAATAATATTGTATGAGACATTAGATGTTACAGCTACAACATGAGCAATGGCTCATCATGACGATTTGATGTACTCCCGACTACACGGAATAAAATATATGCACATCATTGTGCAGGCAATTGTATCTACGTGTATTTATCTATATGCTACAACATTATGTATATATATCTGTGTGTATGTATGTATGTGTATTTCTTAGAAACTTGAAAAGGTCCATTGAGATTTCAACTTCAGCTCTCTACGCAAGCATACTTTGAGCGACTTGACAAAAGTGTAAAATTAGTCAATGAAAAAATTTTCACTTGTACAAGCTAACGCTAGATCTTTTGCACAAGCCACTGTTTGCTTCTTTTATTCACATCTTGAGCAAAAAAGAAGAAAACGAATCCACCTTCCCACAAAACCCTGTGCTTCCCACAACAATTACTTTGTACTACACGCGAATTGTCCAAGCGACACAAGTCGAACTTCGCATTTTCTCCTTCGTTTAAAAATATATCTTCAAACACGAGAGAGAGAGAGAGAGAGAGAGAGAGAGAGCAGGAGCGCGCGCGCGCGCGCTCGCCGTACACGTACGTACGTACATATATACGCACGTATATGCGTATGCACATACGTGTACAGATGCATTTGCGCATCCATCATCTAATATGTGCACAAGAATACAAAGGCGAGTAACGAAGAGAGGAGGACGGAGCTCCAAACGAAACCTGTTTCGTTCTCTCTTTCGGGACGTAGAGGGAAAGAGACAGAGAGAGCCAGACAGACGGGAGAGCGACAGAGACGGCGGGAAAGAGAGAGAGAGAGAGAACGAGAGGAGAAAGGGGGGGAGAGAGAGAGAAAATTCACGCTTGGCGATATCGAATACCCTGCTGCCGGAATACTTGATCGAACGCCAACGCCAAGCCCGTCGGCTGCCACGAGATCACTAGACAACGGATCTCCGCGTAAGGGTTAGGAGAATCAATGGATTCGCGGTCGGGGCGGAAGATGTTTCTCCCGGGGAAGCGTTGTCGCTTTGTCGGCGCGCGCGACCGAGCACGTCGACGCCGTCGCCGTCGCGGTACCGCGTGCGTGCGAGACGGACTTCCCAGGCGACTCGGAGTCGCGGCCACTTGGACATTTTGGCACGCGCACGGCCGTGGACTGACATTGGCCTGAAATCCTCTCGATCCTTCCTCTCGTGCACGTCAACGCGCACGCCGCGAGAGCTCCGGGCGCGGCGGGAGCCGCCGCCGCCGCGGAAAAGCGCGTGCAAGCGACGCGCCGCGAATAATATCGCGGCGCGTCTTCTTCTCGCTGTACTTACGGCTGTGAAAATCGGATTTCCGAGCCAGACGGGTCAGACGTGAAAGATCATAAGAGTAACGCAGATCCAGGTGCCGCCGCGAGTCTTTTCCCCACCGCGAACTAGGGAACGACAGCCCGTCGGAAAGCCTTGATCCGCACGCCCGCGACGAGCAATGAATCACAGGTTCCTGGCCGCAGCACGCACTGATTGGTCGGACCAGTCGATCGCGTCCCGCCGCTCGCTCTCTCGCTCCCTCTGTCTTCCTCTACTCTCCCCCCACTCCGTGTCTCACTCTTGCTCTGCGCTGAGGAATTCGACTCGACGCCCGCCACTCGAAGGGGCGAGATATTATCCGCGATTTCCCAGACTGAAAAGACGATGCCGGACGGCTCTCCCGTGAAGTTTGCGGGTAACTCGCATGTCGATGCGAACGGCACTTCTGTCGCGTTCAAGTGTTGCGTGATACACTTAAAATTAACTCGTCACTGCAATGTTAAGTCCGTGGTGGCGGACCGCCTAAAGACCGTATCACACTGGCGACTCGCGGCTGCGATTACAATCGCGATTCTTCCTCGACCAATCAGAAAGCAGCGACTCGCGGCTGCGACTCACGATTGTCGTTTGGACCGCTTTCTGATTGGTTGAGGAAGAATCGCAATTGCAATCGCAGCCGCAGTCGCGAGTCACTAGTGTGATACGGTCTTAGGCCCAGTTCCACAAAATCAAGTTTAAACCGTGATTATCTGAACTGACGTTACATTTAACGGCATGGTTAAACTTATATCGCGTTCCATATCATGTTTTTAACTGTAGTTTACTTAAACCTATAGTCTGTATGAAGAAACTGTCAAAGACTTCTCTTTCTTTTCAAACGTAGAATATGATTGGTTGTTGCTAATAGTGAAAAGAGGGAAAATTGAAATAAGTTGGATGCTATGACATCTAGTAGAGAACAATATATCTGTTTCGTATGAAGTAAACATTACCAACTATAACAACTATACAATAAATAAAGTAACCAACATTAACATTTGCTGTATTTGTATATAAGTATTAATTTATTAAAAGGTGGGAAGTCCAGTGTTAATAATCAATTAGTTTATATTATTGATTTGATTGCATTTATCATATAATAATTGACTTTTATATATAGTTTTATACTCTGTTTTAGAATATAATCTATCGAAGCAAAAAACCCAATATTTTAAATTAAATTTATATACTTACTGTTCTGTTTTATGAGAAATTTCATGCTCGATTTCTGCTAGAACTGCAATAACAGATTCTTTTGATAATCTAAATCGTGCATGAAAATCGACATTATCAAATTCTTCTAAATATGATGGTCGTCTTATTTTTATATTTCTTGTCCGTCGATAAATTAGGTTTTCAAAATCTTCATCTTTAGATGAAGATAATATGTATTCTAAAGCCATATCTCTTTGGTGTTCAAACGTTCAAAATATTTGTCAACTGAACTCCAAAACCGGGATAGTCACAAATTTTTTTCTCAAATCGATGGTACTGCAGTGTTAAACTTCGTTTAAATTCATTAAACGCCCAAAGTTTTGGGTTTAACTTTAACTGTGAGAAATCAACGTTAACCATGGTTTAAGGCAGTTGTGGAACGCAATTTTTCGTCTAAACTAGACTTAACGAGTTAAATTTCGTTTACAATAAAGCCAGCGGCACACGGTGCTTGTTTTCGTGCTGGATTGCTTGCTGGATGAAAATATTGCGTTGTGATTAGTACATTTCCGAAGATGGATGGAAATGCACCAATCAGAACGCAGTATTTTCATCCAGCAAGCAATCCAGCACGAAAACAAGCACCATGTGCCGCTGGCTTAAGCTAAGACTCCATGCATGCGGTGAGCTGCGGCAAATGCTGCGGTGACCAATCAGGAGGGAGGCGCAAGTTCGGTTGCGGCAAGCTCCGGCATGCGTCTGTCTCCTGATTGGTCACCGCAGCCGTTTGCCGGAGCTCACCGCATGCATGGAGTCTTAGCTTTAGCTTTAACGCGATTGGGAATCGCGAACCGATGATCGCTCGGCCAATCGAGGCTGCGCAAGCGAGTCGAGTATGAGATTACTCGATTGGTTGACTCGTATCAAATTCGCTATTCGCGACTCTCTTAATACGCAGTTTGATAGGGACTTGGTAGGGATGTAGATTGAACTTCCTCGGTTCGAAATTAGCTCGGTGCTCGTAAGTACCGTTTCTATTGAGTTTCTTCACGAAAGCTCTTTTCTCAGCTGGTCAAATGTTGGACTGGTGGAAATACTCGAGATGATGGGAAAATGTGGACAATACACATGTATAGAATAGAATGTATGTGTGGAACTGGTCGGCTGTTTTTATTTATCTAGATTTATTCAACTTCGAAGCATATGTACTTTTGCAAGTATAATTATCGCAAATCATATTCCTCCAGGTCTAACTGAAAATTTTTTTACAAAACTAAAAAAACGTGGGAATACAAGTCCTATCGTATCACATATAGATGTTTACTGGAAATGTATCACAATAGTCCTGTTATTACACATGTGTAATTGCTAGACCCAAAAAGTCGGAATTTTATATTGATAGTTTAAACACGTTGATAGGAAAGAAAAGTAGAAGAAAAGGTGCATTAAGGTATCATGCCTTATATTTTGATGTGGTCTGCCAGGGAGCAAGACAGACCAGTGTTGTCTGGCTCTACATTGAGCTCCTTGACAATGCCATCTTCGACGATCATAGAATAACGCTTGCTGCGTTTACCTCCCAGAGGTGGCAGATCCACGCTGAGATCCACAGCGTCTGTAAATTCCGCCTTAGGGTCGGCTAGCATGCGTACCTGATGAAAACAATTTTATCTTCAGAGACAGTCAACAGATATTATGATGAAAGATTTTAATCATAACGTGACAGTCGATTTACGACGCAAATAACTTGTTCTCTGCACTTTGTGCAGTTATTGATTTGATACTTGAGTAAATGCGCACCTTGTTATTTGCACCATGTTCTTTTCCCCAAGCTTCCATGACAAATGGATCATTGACACTGATGCAGAAAATCTCTGAGATTCCTTTAAATTTTAGTTCAGCTGCTTTTCCAATGTATCCAGGAAGATGAGTCTGAAAAAATTTATAATTGTACTGAAGTTATCCACTATATAACATTGAGAGAGAAACTAATATTGTATGTACTGTCTATATACGACCCATCTTATCTCATACTTATGTGATCATGTTATCTTATCAATTTTCTTATATGTATTACTTTTTATATTCATTAACACAAATTATGTACAATCTAAGTCATAAATATAATTCAAGAGAAACTTTGAATTGTAAAAGGGATGGATTGGGTCTTAAAAAAGTATGTATAAAAAATCAAGTTTAATTCTATTACTATCACATCAAGATACTAGCATCTGTCTGAATCTTAACATTTTCAGAAGCTCTACTTTTCAGTAGTTACTAATTAGGTATAAAAGCTATAAAAAGCATACTTTTGAGCAACCCGGTGTGAATGCACCTGGTACAGCAAACACGACGATTTTTTTCCCCGCAGCTTCCTTTGCTAGGTTTACCTTATTTGCTGGGGTGTTCTCATAAAGACCCACATCGGGAAGCCTATCTCCAACCTTGAAAAAATTATATCATAAATCTCTCGCTTTTGATTAAAAGAAGTCACACATATTGTCCATAATATTAGGCATGTATTATTCATCTAGACTAGAATTTTAAGGCAAAATATATCTTGTATACATCGCTTGTTAAACACATTGCTTACAACATTAGCTGATAACTCTAACTACATATTTATCTCAAACTAGGGTAATTCAAGATTAGTTTAATGAGCAATAATTATATTAGCTGGTTACATTCTTCTTCCCTGATGACCATGAAACAAAATTTTATTGACACGTCTAGATCCAGATTATAAGAGAAGTATAAATTGAAAATAGATTGTACGAAGTATACTTAACATCGATTGTCAATCAACGGACGCAAAATGAACGGAATACTTACAGCGATAACCATGTTTCGCGATGATACGTGAAAGTCTCGTGCAAAATGCCGGAACGCTGATGCTCGTTTGTCGGCAGAAACAATACGACTGAATAGCTGACTCATGTATAAACCTTTGTGTCGATCTTATTGCAAGACACAAAATAAATAATGCGTGAGTTGTTAAAAGCGCTCGACCCTCACCGTATAAATAGTCGGCACGTATTGCATAATACTATTGCGTGTATAAGTTATCGTCGACTGACGACAATCGGAAGGCTGATTCCCCTGTTTGCTAAAGAATCGGTTGCCGCTTCGTGCTCCCCAAATTTCAATAATTAAAATTTTAAAATTAATTTTTACGTCGACGTATTGTTGAATCGCGTCAGTAAACTTTGCCGGGTTGTTGTATAAACATGTTTATTCAAATTGCGTTGAAGCCTGCTTGACTTGTCTCTTTAGTAATTATGTAATATATTGTCGAATCAAAGTCTTTCCTTCTCATTAATAAATAGGGATTAATTAGTTATACTATTGAAGAATAAAAGTCTTAAAGTTGGACGATGTAAAAATGTCTCTCATCTACTGTCAAATTTTACTGCTTTAAGTTAAACAGGCTTCTATTTTTGCAAAATTAAATAATGACAATTAGATGGTTTGAGAAGCATTTTACAGACTGAAGTTCCTAATTTGTACACATATTATTCGGTATAATGTTTAGTTAATGTTTACAATGTTACATGAATATAAATCGATATCCGTCAGAGGTTGAAATCTTTGATAAAGTTTCACCGCGTAAACAAAAAAAGATGCATAAATGGCGTTTATATCATTTGAAAGCGTAAATCTTCCTCTTTAATTTGCGTATCCACAAATTGCAATGCGATTTTTTTTATTGAATTATTCAACGTTGAAGCAAAAATGACACTTTGGCTTTGATCGCTTATAATAGGAGAATGAAACGACTTATGGCATTCGGTAAATAATAAATAGAAAGCTTAAAGTCCCCTCCTTACAATGCATATGTTATATTTTTATAACAATTAATATTTGATATGAAACTTAAATTGAAAGATAGAGTTGAATATTAAACGGTCGCTATTTCTCATTTAAATCGATATATTTCTCAAACAAACATTATTAAAGTTATAAATCTAATATGTCTAAAAAGTAGAAACTCTACGCTTTAATACGTTTCTTAAACCACTTCGCTATCGTCATTCTTGTCAAAGCTAGAGTTTGTTGAATCTGCCTATTTTTCGATACAAGAGAAAACTACGCCTGAACAGCCTTTGAGTTGTATCACTTAAAGTAATAAACGGACGGCTGACTTGTGACAAATCGTATCACTTGAATCTCTCAGTAAGTACAGTACAGCGACTCATAAGGCCTGGTCTACAATACGTGTCGTAAGTTGTAAGCCGTAAGAATTGGCGAATCACAGTCGATTATTACAAAAATAATCGGCTATAATTGGTCAGTTCTTACGACTTACAGCTTACAACACGTATTGTAGACCAGGCCTACCGGAGACTTTGAACAGAGAGGGAGCTAAGAGCGGCCAACACGGCGTTTTCGGCGACACCGATTTTTCGCACTGGGAATGGGCGCTATCTGCATCCATTTTGAGAGGGGAACTACAATGCTACATCCACTTTAGGTCTCGACGGTAAAACCTGCATCTGGTGGCTGTCCGTGCTACATCCACTTTCAGGCGGTTTATGTCCGTGCTACACCATAATAGCGTACTTGACAAGCATGGTCTCGCGCATTGTTATGCATTTGTAACATGAATTAACATGTTAACATGCACAAAAAAATAAGAATTGAGATTGTATATGATTAATATCATGAAGATTATATACGATTTATATCGATATATAAATATATGATAATAAGATAATATTTTGTGTGTACCCAAAATTATTTTTCCAAAATATTTCAGCGTTACGTTAGTATTTATTTATACTCCGGCAGGCGTTTTTTAGCGCAGTTGTGTCCGTGTGCACGTGTTGCATTGAAAATGTGCGTGACGTACGTGTGCATATACGCACTCACACACACACATACACACACACGTGTCATACGCAACAGATAGAATCTCAGGGTATATGCTTAAACATTTTCAATTGCCGTACGTTTCTGTGTAAGAATGTAGTCGGCACACACACACAGAGAAACTGCTCCCGTCTATCCGTCTGCAGTCCCGCCCATCGCTCGGCTTGTTTTGACGAGCCAAGCGAAAGAGAGAGAGAGAGAGGGAATGTGTTCGCTCCATCTCGCTCTGATTCGCAATGTTGCCGAGATTGTACTTCCCGACACACGGCCGAGACTGACGTTTCACTCTCGGCGTGAATCCAACGAGATGATCAATAGCAATCGATTTCGACTAAACTCGTTGTGTCGATAGATTTGCATGACAAATTAACATTGCACTTAAAGATACGGCGTAGCATTGAAGCGTTTGCAAGAAAGTCGCGATTGAAAATCGCGAGTGCTGCATGAACCAAATGAAGGAGCGAGCTTCTCAAAGAGCGTGTGGCTTGGTGGGAGTACGCTGGACTCGCGGGGTTGAGGTTGGTGGTTCGCATATTCTTGGCGGTCGGCGTTGTCCTTTTTCGCCAATCTTTTTTTTATTTCGGTTTTTTAGGAAAATGCACGTGTTGCATACAACATACGTGTATCACAATAAATTTTTTTTCATTTTTTAAGAAAATACACGTATTGCATACAACACACGGGCATTGCAAGCATTGCACGTTTCGTCGATGACACTTTCTCTGAGACCCCGACCTCCGCTCGACTTGTTTCGAAGAGCCAAGCAAAAGAGAGACAGAGAATGTGTTCGCTCCATCACCTCTGTGAAGATGGCCCTTCATTCTTCAAATTTGAAAAAAATTATTAGAGTTCTGAATGCCCCTCGCAGAGTTCTAGAGTTCGCAATCCTTTATAGAAAGAGTTCCGTCATTTAAAGTAGAGAAAATACCATTTTAAAAATCGGAGGGCCAACTTCACGACTCATTATGTAAAAAATGACAATTTTTTCAGAGTTCTAGATAGATTTTTAATAGTTCTACAGTTCTAGATAAGTTTTAAAAATAGTTCTGTTTAAAACAATAAGAAAAATTATATTTAAAATTCTCGAATTAGAAAACGAAAAATGGCAAGAACTCTACCAATTTTGGTTTTAGCGCGTCGCGTGTTAATAATAATCTTTAGAACTCGTGAGGGGCTAACCAGAACTCTGAATAAAACATCGGATTTTCAAAAAAATTCATTGTTTATTAAACACGTAAAATTTTTTTTTCGGAAATCCGATGTTTCATTCAGAGTTCTGGTTAGCCCTTCACGAGTTCTGAAGATTATTATTAACACTCGGAACGCTAAAACCAAAATTGAAAGAGTTCTTGCCGATTTTTGTCCCTCGAGTCGAATATTTCCATGTCCCTCGGATCGAAAGAATTTTTCGGAAATCCGACGTTCTATTCAGAGTTCTGGTTAGCTGCTCATGAACTCTGAAGATTATTATTAACACTCGGAGCGCTAAAACCAAAATTGAAAGAGTTCTCGCCGATTTTCGTCCCACGAGTCGAATATTTCCATGTCTCTCAGCTCGCAAATCGGCGAGAACTCTTTCAATTTTGGTTTTAGCGCTCCGAGTGTTAATAATAATCTTTAGAACTCGTGCGGGGCTAACCAGAACTCTGAATGAAACTTCGGATTTCCGAAAATAAATTTTCTGAGTGAGATGGGAGACGCAATTTATGGAAAAATGTAGCGTTTTTACAGTGAAATCCGGTGATCGAGATGGAAAATCGATTGACCCATATTTGCCTATTCACGTATAGGGAAAAATATTGTTATATTATCATTATTACATATTATTATCTCGATGCACGAATCACTACAGCCCTCTTTCAGCAGTTGAACGTACCTTATATTTACAACTATCGCCGCTACGTGGCGCCCGATGGCATTGGCATACTCGGAGTTGAATTAACGACTCGGAGAGGATAAAATGCGAACGTAGCAGTTGTAAAGCATCGCTTCTCGGCTTTCTGAGCTAAGATATCGAAGGTTAAAATTTTCCAACATTTCTCCGTTGCTATCTCCGCTTCTACTGGGAGCAGAGAGTCGTCATTTACGGCAAAATGTAGGGTTTTGAGAAGACTTTATTTTGGAGCCAGAAACAGGCCTGTATCTCTAGCCGTTTAGGAGATATAGAATGTTAAAGTTTTCCAGCCTTTCTCCGCCGATATCTCCGCTTCTACTGGGAGTAGAGAGTCGTCCATGTAGTCCAAAATGTAGGGTTTTGAAAGGGCTTTAATTTGGTACCAGTCCGAAGCCTGTATCTCTAACCGTTTAGAAGATATCGAAGGTTAAAGTTTTCCAAACCTTTCTTCGTCGATATCCAGCCTTCATCCGTCGATATCTCCGCTTCTACTGGGAGTAGAGAGTCGTCCATGTAGTCCAAAATGTAGGGTTTTGAAAGGGCTTTAATTTGGTACCAGTCCGAAGCCTGTATCTCTAACCGTTTAGGAGATATCGAAGGTTAAAGTTTTCCAACCTTTCTCCGTCGATATCCAGCCTTCATCCGTCGATATCTCCGCTTCTACTGGGAGTAGAGGGTCGTCCAAGTAATCCAAAATGTAGGGTTTTGAACGGGCTTTAATTTGGTACCTGTCCGAAGCCTGTATCTCTAACCGTTTAGGAGATATCGAAGGTTAAAGTTTTCCAACCTTTCTCCGTCGATATCTCCGCTTCTACTGGGAGTAGAGAGTCGTCCATATAGTCCAAAATGTAGGGTTTTGAAAGGGCTTTAATTTGGTACCAGTCCGAAGCCTGTATCTCTAACCGTTTAGGAGATATCGAAGGTTAAAGTTTTCCAACCTTTCTCCGTCGATATCTCCGCTTCTACTGGGAGTAGAGAGTCGTCCATATAGTCCAAAATGTAGGGTTTTGAAAGGGCTTTAATTTGGTACCAGTCCGAAGCCTGTATCTCTAACCGTTTAGGAGATATCGAAGGTTAAAGTTTTCCAACCTTTCTCCCTCGATATCCAGCCTTCATCCGTCGATATCTCCGCTTCTACTGGGAGTAGAGGGTCGTCCAAGTAGTCCAAAATGTAGGGTTTTCAACGGGCTTTAATTTGGTACCTGTCCGAAGCCTGTATCTCTAACCGTTTAGGAGATATCGAAGGTTAAAGTTTTCCAACCTTTCTCCGTCGATATCCAGCTTTCATCCGTCGACATCTCCGCTTCTACTGGGAGTAGAGGGTCGTTCAAGTAGTCCAAAATGTAGGGTTTTGAACGGGCTTTAATTTGGTACCT